TGTATATGTAAAGGCATTTTAGATACTTCCCACACTCTTGCAATATTCTAAACAATGTTTTCTAAACTAAACGTTCTAAAAGATCACAGAATGTCATTATTTCACCTCCCTGCCTCTGCTGCTCTCAGCCACCTGCAAGCGCTCTTGGCCACACCCACTTCTACGCTCTGCACGGAGAACAGCTGATCAGCTGCAGCAGGAAGTTTATCCTGCAGTATGGGTTGCACAAAGGTGCAGCAGGTGCTAAATAATTTAAAATAATTTATTTTACATAAAAATTCCATGCTGATAGTGCAGCTCATCCATCAATCAGCCAATTGTGTGTCATGTCCAGTCTTAGTTTGAAAAATCGCGAAAGAGCGAGTCTGCGATAAAAGAACTGCAAAGTAACGTGGGACTACTGTATTTGATCATTTAATTTTTTTTAAATTATTGAGTATTTTCAACATATATTCAGGATATATTAAAAATAAAAATAAATTGTTAACGTTATCTACAGGCATGCTCTTCTGGGGGTTGCACTTCTAGTGCACCATTGTCTTTTCTGACAGCTGCTGCTCCGCCTCAAAACCAACCTCCTCCCCAAATCAATGCTACTGGACCTCATACCCTGCATGCTTCTTGGGAGCCCCCCAAGCAGCCAAATGGTACAACACACACATGCACACACACTGTTTACAGGTCTGTAACATGGAGCTCCTATCACAGAAATAGATCCTCACAGAACTGTACATTCATCTTTACAAAATAAAAAAAAAACATATTTATTTGTATCACAAATATCAAATCAAAATTTTTCAGCAAAGTATTGTCCATGGCAATAAATCATACTGTGAGATGAACAAACTTACAAAATTCATGTTTGAGTTTGCCAAATACCATGACTGTAGGCATGTGTCATTTCAGCTGTATAAGAATATGTCGGCAATTTATGCTTGTGCACACATGCACGCACACATACTCACATGCACACACGCAAAGAAAAAAACAAAAGCCTCACTGAACTTAAAGTGCCTTTGGTAAATCCAGAGAGATTTGTAATAGCGCTAAGGCTCAGTGTCATGCAAAGCCTGTAACCTGGTCTTCTGTTTGCTCCTCATCCATTTTTTCACATTTTTTCAGCTTAACTGACATTTTTTTTCTTTGCAACATTTCTTTATTAGCTTAATAAAACTTTTTTGTTCCCCAAATTGATTTTTATAAACATATATTTGAACTGTATTCAGTCTCTTTTCTTCTCTTTTTGATCAGGGCTCTTTCAGCCCTGATTTTTATTTTATTTTATTATTTTATTTTACTAATCTAATTTACAAATACAAATAATTCTGGCTTTACAAGGCAGAATGAGAGTTTATTAAAAAGAGTGGCTGCATCAGTACTGGTATATTTTTGTAACTGTTTGTGTCACATCTGTTCTGTAATATCAGGGAAGGGTCTGTCGGACAGACATCAATATAAACACAAGTCAAGGACTTTCTCCAAAAATAAGTCTTTAATTACATCATCTATCCTACCTTAATTAATTTCACTGAGCAAAGATATTTTGAATTGTTTATTTTATACAGCTTTATTGACAATATCTATTTTATTATTTTCTGAAGAAGCAATGTTTCCAAATTAGGTTTTGGAGCAGATACAACCAATAGAATATTTAAACTTGCTTATTTATTTGTTTTGTTTGTTTGTTAATCTCTAAATTAGTGAGTGTAAAATTACACACTAAACTATTTTATTTTAAACCAAATAAAATTTATAAAGTCCCAGACTTTCTGAAAAAGAAAGAGCTGGCAAATGTCTTTTTAAAAATAAATAAATAAAATGAATAAATATAAAATCAGAAATAAAAACATAAAACTGTTGTTTTCTCAACAATCCCTGTAAAATAGCTTGCTGCTTTCCATCTTACTCTGACTAGTTTTTTTTTTTTTTTTACTGTTGTTAATGTTAATCTTTTGCAAACGGCATTAAGCTTATTTTTCTTTGTGCGCAGGAATTATCACAAGGTATGACGTGTTTCTCCGTGGGCCAACGGATTTTAATAATGAAAAGAAGGTGTTCAGCAGCTCTGGGTGGCTGGATCCTGGAGATGATGCAGAAGGAAAGCAAGTCAACACTACACTGTCCCCTCCCAAGAACAGCACAGTTGTAATGGGTCTGCAGGCGTTTTCAACCTACCAGCTGAGAGTTGTGAGCATCAATAGTGCAGGAAGTGTGTCATCGGAGTGGACCACAGCTCGCACGCTGGAGGGAGGTTTGTATTGGCCATAACTGCAGTTGAGCTTGGGATAATGGTGTAGGAAGGAATTTAAGTTTTTTTTCTACATCCCCATCAATCATTCCAGCCTAATAAATGCACTTTCCTTTTAATTTACCTTATCTCGACACAGATGCAATACCATACACATACTTGTTTTTCAAGAGTTTTAAAGTTTTAGTAATGCAGAATTAAAACAGTTTAGCATGTACTGCAAAAAAATTAGAGTTTCACCTGTTGAGAGCATCCTTGTCTCTGTTTTCAGGGAACCATTCTTGGACCAGAGAAGAGAGCATTTTAGAAATATGACTTCCTCCGAAGGCCTCTTCTTGAAATGTACAAATAAACAATCAATAATTAATGATATGCCAAATAACTGGGGAAAATATAAGGTCCAATTCTTTGCAGATGAAATAAAAATATGTTTTCTCTTGTTAAATTTACTTTAAATTTAAGTAAACCCCAACAAAGATACAGTAAAGAAATGAAGTAGGAAGGGAAATAAAAACCACATGCGGGGGAGGGTAAACTCATTAAGATATTTGAATTTCAAAGAGATGATATGGCTCATTAGGACTAAATGATTGCCTCCAACATCACTCTAAGCTATGTGTCTGGATAACAAGCATGTGATAACACCATTTTAGATGTGGAATGTGTGCCAGGGTATTTGCACGTACATACAGTACGCTGTGTGGAAGGCAAATATATGACAGTAGTTATGTTGACCATAAATCACATTTCATAGCATATTTCACAGTTTGATGATATCAACAGTGGAATAAAGAATCCGTCGCTCTAATCTGCTGTGTAATTGTGGCTATTGCAGTCGCAGAATTATGGAACACTCAAATCCATTAAGTCAACCTAATGTGCAGAAAGTCTTAACTTTCATTGTGTTTTTATTTTAAAATATTAAGAGAAAAAATAGATTTACAGTGATAGGCTAAGTGATCACTTACAATTCACGTTCCTTTAAGCAAAAAAGCATCATTTGAGGTATTATTTTTAATATTGTTGACAAATAAATCACAGTAAAACTTTTTTTATATTTAGCAACATTGTTGTTGAAGAGACTATAGGGTTTTGGTATGAAATGATAATCCTGAAATAACTAATTCTGTATGATTTTATGTTTTTCCCCCTTAAAGAACAACATGAAGCACTTGATTTTCAGAGCATGAAGAGCATAAGTATGTGTTGTCATCATTGTATGTTCCCATACAATTGCAAAATTAGTTTTCTGCATTTAACCCATCGCACCTGGGATATACCCAGGTGGAGCAGTGGGTAGCTATGTAGGTGCCCGGGGAGTGGTTGGGGATTGTGTGTCTTGCTCAGAGACACCACGACATCTGAGAACGGCAGGGTATTGAGCCTGGGACTTTCGGGGCCCAGGTCGGCTCCCCTGCCTCTACCCCATCTCGGCCCTTCTTGGCATGTGGTTTTGTTGGCAGGAAATGTTATTTGATAACTTCTCAGATTTATAGAGAAAATAGCCCTGTTAGCTAAAGAGACATGGCATCTACATATACAGTAAAAATATAAAATCTATTGTTTTTTTTGTTTTCGTTTGTTTATTTTTGTGCTAATGATGGCTTGGTGACAAGTCCTGTTTGCTGCTTACATGCTACTTTGTAGTATTGTCTTAAAATAATTTCCTTCTTCGTATTTATTTGAATTTTGAAATAATTAAAGCTGATATTTCCTCAGTATTTATGTCATCATTACACAAGTATCTTGTTTTATTAAAATGCACCCTATTTTAATAATGATTTGCTCAGCTTTATCTAATGACTAAAACCCTGAATCTGTTTTCAGTCCCAGAGTTTGTGGCACCTCCAGATGTTTCTGCGTTGTCATCCAGCAGTCTGAAAGTTACATGGAACTCCACTGAGGGTCAAGGGTTCATCGCACGAGGACAAGTCACTGAGTATCGGGTTAACTTGCTCACGGAGCAGACCACCAATCCCTACGCCCCTCCAGTTATTAGTCAGGTGAGGTCATACTTTTAATAAAAAATAATACATTGGACAACCA